GGGATCATCAGGCTTGTCCATGGCAAGTTCCTGTATTCTCAGAGCTATGCCATCTGTCCATTGGAGCTCTTTCCTAGGGTCTGTCTGTTCCTTTTGCTGCTGGTACTAAAATCCTTAGTTTTTAGAGGCTCCAGCCTCAGTCCAGGGTCCCCTTGTCCCTCCTTAGGCTCTCTGGGAAGTGCCACTCCTGCCTATGGGCAGTAGGTTCTGTTCTACTGACTAAATTTTTACTTCATTTCAAGTCCTATGGGCCTCTTACTGCTAACCATATACTGCTGAGATGGGATACCAGCTGACCTGATGGCTCCTCAGAAGGCTGAACATACAAGTTATTATGTAACCTAGGACTCCCTCTTTCTTTTTAGACAAACTCAAGAGAGGTAGAAATGCATGTGAATATTATACAAAGGAGGGGTTCATAAGTGTTAGAGCATGTTCCACAACAGCTCCAAATAAAAAGCAACCTAAATGTCCATTAGCTGATGTAAACATAATGTACTGTATCCATACAATAGGATATTGTCTGACAGCAGAAGAGAAGAGACTGATAGATGGCAGGACATGAATGAACCCTGGCACATAATCACGAACGACAGAAGCAATTTACAGAAGGTTCTATGCTATGTCTCTGAGTTTCAAAACAAAGCAAATGTGCAGAAAGAAGAAGTAAAAAAAAATGAGAGATTATATGCTGTGTGAATTTTATCTCGTTATACTATTTCCAAAGGGCTGGAGCCATGGCTCAGTGGTGAAGAACAATTGTTGCTCTTGCAAAAGGACCTGAATTTGGTTCCCAGCACCCACATGGTGTCCCATGACCACCCACACTCCAGTTGTAGAGCATCCAATGCCTTCTTCTGCCCTCTGAGAACACCAGACATGCATGTGCTACACGTTTAAAAAAAAAGAAAAGTTCAAAAAGAGATACCTAAAACACTACCACCACAACAACAAACAAACCAACCTACCAAAACCTCAAATAATCCTCTGCAAATTATGTCCTACAAATAACAAAGTGAAGGTTGTTACTTTTAAAGTTCTTTTATTGTGAAACAAATGTTAAAGAAAAAAATTTTCTAATATATAGTCATTGACCAGCTCTCCAAAATATGAACATTTTAGAAGTCTTTTCAGGTTTTTTTTCCCCCTCAGTTTTATTACCAGAATTTTGAACGTGAGAAAACTTGGAAGATTGTATGACAAATGCCATGTATTCCCAGTTGTATTTTCCCACTAACATATTAATTCTGCCTGTCTTCATCTCTGTCTGTCTGTCTGTCTGTCTGTCCTCTTGTTCACCATCCAGTCATTCTCTATAATTCAATGTAAGTTGCAGACAGCCCCACTCTTCCCTCAAACCTGCTGCGTGCTTCTTATTGAGATGGATATTTATTTATGGTTCTTCAGAGAAATGCACAAATATAAAGCCTGCCCTCCTTGATGTGAGACAGATATAGTGCTTGTGTGACTCAGAGCCATTTTCCCTTTAGAAATATTCTAAACTTTTTGTTACAGTTATTTGTGATGGAGTGTGTGCCAGAGCATACCTGGCTCCTGTGGAGGTCAAAGGACAACTTGCACAAGCCAGTTCTCTCTTCCACCCTGAGGTTTGGGATCAGACTCAGGTCCTCAAGCTTGAGCCCCAGGGACCTTTGCCCTCCGAGCCCCTCTTGCTGGCTGCCTTAGAAACATTTTTAATTACTCAGAGCCTGTAAAATAAATTGTTGTCATAGAGTTTCGGATGTCATCGTTGTCTTTTATATGCTGTGTTTGCCGCCCGTAGAGTCGATTCAATCTCCAACATGAGAAATTCCAATCACGTACTATAAGCTTCCTGAGCCTTCTCAGTCCTTGAAATGAAATGAAAAATGGTTTGTAATTTTTTGCTATTAAGCCCTTGTTTTAGTGTAGCATTAATGATAAACACATAAAACAAAACAAAAACAAAGAAGACCAAACCAAAGCTCTCCTGTATTTAAATCTGTGGTTTCAGAGTAAATAGGAATGACATGGAGAATTATGCAGGATGAAGCATGGCTTGAGATTTTAAACCAGTTAATACACAGAATGTCATGGAGGCAAGTCTTTCTCTCTTCCTTCTATCCTTCCTTTTCCTTTCAGGAAACAAACCAAGATTTCTTTCCCATAAAAACCAATGAAATTCATATGATCAGAGTATATCCCGTACATATTTGAAAGTGTCAGGACAAAACTCATTATTTTGTACAATTAATGACCTTTTAAAAGTCAACACTGTCTCTTGTCTAATGAAACACATTACCAGTTTGCAAGAATCAGGGAACATGTTTTTCAATTCGGTTACACATCCCTTTTAGTGTCCCCTGTAATGATAAATTCTGTGCATTTATGAAGAAGTACAATATGGTCTCCTTGTGATGAACTCTTTTGTGTCACAGGCATTTCTGATTTTTATCATAAATATCTAAAAAGCAGATGAAAAATGAGGTCTTTAAATGGAGCAGTTCGCTCCAAGTTTTTTTGTTTTTTTGTTTTTGATTGTTTTCTTTTGTTGTGTTTTGTTTTGATTTAACCTAACTTGGCCTGGACAATTTTAGCTTAAAGATGCTGATATCAGGACCTTATACTCAAAACCTGGAAGAGGCCATACCTATGACATCACTTGACCAATGAGATGGGTTAAGATGGACCAATCTGGAAAAGGAAGAGTTTAGTAGTGCTTTGGAACATAAGGCATGGCATTTGTCTTTAAGGAATGAAAATATTAATTTTATATATGTTTTTAATTACAAATGCTACACATCTCCCCTGAGTCAAGGAGGTCCTTCCTATTTCTTAATTACCAGATGGAGGCAAGCTTCCCCCTGGTCCTGGTAAAGTGTGTACTTTAACGTTCACAGTTTGGGGAAGGGAGAAGGGGGTGCGGGGGTGGAGGGGTGGGAGAGGAGGTGTTAATTCAGATGTTAGGGAACAGTGATGATGCTGTTATTTAAGGCACTTATTTGAGTGTGTTTATACTTTGTGGTTCTATAAATAAGCCAGAGGGGGCTCCTGGTTGTCTCGATGCTTCTTGAATCCTGTGCCCTGTCTGTCTCATCCTATCCGACAGTAGAATTGATGCCCCTCTAATCCCTGGAAGTTTGGGGCTAATGAACTGACTGCTGAGCGGCCGCCACGGGGCTTGGTCCCAAACTATACTGTACTTCACACTCGATTTATTCTCCAGATGGCGAGACTGTGCCGCCCCGCCGCGAGGGACCACCCCTTCCACTGGAGTGTAAAAGTGGACGGATGTTGTTTTCTTTGCAGATCTCATCGTTCTGAGCTAGAAACTCGCGAGGATGATTAGTTATTAGCTTTAATGGGTGCCAATTGAACCAACCGCACGCAGATTTTCTCCCTTAATTTTGGAGGCTGCAGGTCTTGGGGATAGTTGATTTATCTGCTTTCCTACGTCACCGGAGCACATCTCCTCCCCAGGTGATAGGAATCCAGGCTCTGAAATCATAGCACGCCTTGGTTCCTGGCCCAGACACGGTCACATAATACTGTGGCTTATGGATAAGGACAGTTTTATTAGCCTCTGGTCCACTGCACCAAGTAGCCCGTGGCACGGAATATCGATCTGTTGCAGGAACTTTGAGAAGCCTTAGAAGATTCTGGTCCATTCTAACCTTGTCTAAAATCCGTGTGGAATCTGAAATCAGATGTGATACAGAACACTCGATGCTAGTGAGTGAACTCTTCCAAGACATAATAAAAACTTTTCAGAAAAGGCCTTGATTCTGCCATTCAGATATCTAGCTTGTCAGATCTGAGGGGGCTGAGTTTATCTGAGAGGACCCTTCAACAAGGCTATTTTGCTAGCGATACAGTCCCCCTCAGCCTAATGAGACCAACCTTCCCTCGAAACATTCTTTCTTTGCCCACAAAACTCATTCCTTTTTAATTTCTGCAAGTTATTCTAAAGACCCTACTGAGAGAGTCTGCCAGGCACCTACAGACCTCTTCTTAATCCACCTAAAGATGGAGATGGAGGGAGGAGATGCCAGAGAACAAGAGGAAGTAGGAAGGGAAGGGCTGATGGAGATGAGAGGTAGGGAGAAGTCAAGGAACAGAGCGCAGAACGTCTTTCTCCTCACAACTGGGTGGACCAAACTAACAGAATGCACAGCACTAATTGTTCTTAGAAGCTGCCTTTCTCTCAGCCCAACAGATGGCATGGGTGTGTTTACTAGCACAGTGACATATTTCACTATTAAAGTAACAAAAAAAAAATCCACACACTTGTTGGCTGGTGTAAATTTAGTAAGGTTGTTGGATATTTTGGGATATGTACCAGAGGGATCGATTCTTCATTGATGTAAATCGTAGCAAGCAACAGCCTGTTAACAAGAGTTTTTGGGTGTCAATATACCTCAGACACAAGCCTCCATTTTTGGAAAGGTATAAGGTGATGTCAGGAGAGCACTCCCTGTTTATTCTGAGCAAAAAAAAGCAAAACAGAACAAAAAAAAATCAAAGTAAAACAAAAACAAACAAACAAACAAAAAACAGGAAAAGGAACAATAAAATGCTGACCGCTCACTGCTCATTGTTATAGCTGGCTAATGACTAATCAGATTATGGTAGAGACTGGAATTTAGGTGCTTCATTTGCAGCGAGTTTCAAAGGATTGAGCTCTACTCAGTGAACAGGAATGTGTGGAAACCATGGCAATCTGACCTCAGATGAAAATCAATAGCAGGTTTACAGCATGCGCTCTGCACAAACAGTTCCCTTCAAATCCAAAGGAAATAACCAAACAGCGTAGCCCTCAGATTCTGAGACACAATTTAAGAAGTTGCCAGGAATTCTGCATCAGCGAGCACATGGTGGACATTTGTTTTGTCTTTCTTTTGACAAGGGTCTTGCAATGTAGACCAGGTTGGCCTGAAACTGGACATTGTCCTCCCTCGGCCTCCCGAGTGCACCAGCGTATTCAGCATGGCTGTACAACCATTTGACTTGTTCCCATTCAGTGTTTCAAATCTGCAAGTCTGCAAGGCTACGATGTTGGGTGAGAACCTACAAGTTGGAATGTTTACCAACCCAAGCTATCCAGAGCTCGTAGCTGTCCTGTCTGTGTGCAACATGACCTGGTTTTTAGGTTCTCTGAGGCAGCAGGTCTGAAACAGATACTAGTAAAAGCAGAGGAATCTCTCCTGCTACTGTAGACTGCCTTCAAAGCCTGCTTACTCCTGTGCTTGGTTATCAGTATGTTCCCATTAGCTTCTGCAGCAACAGTACATAGCAGAGTACCTGAGTGGGATCTCCACTATAGAATAGCCAAGTTGGGCAAGGATGGGTGCTAGAAACATAGATGGCTTGTGTACTTCTCTAGCAGAGGGCTTGAGTTTAGTTCCCCATACCTCATCAAATGTGGCTCACAACCGTCTGTGGCTCCAGCTTCAGGGGAGTCGAACGCTTCTGACCCCTTTTGGTATCCACACTGACATATACATACTTCCCACAACACACATACGCACTGTGAAAACAGATTTTAAGAATTTTAAAACGGAAAGAATGGCACCATGAGGACTCAAGCCTGTGTTGAGCTCGTGAGCTTTTTCTTGCTTTTGTCTCCATTGGTGTAATTATTCACGTCCAATACAAATTGAGTCTCCGCAGAGACATCCTAAAGACCTTCTGGGTGCCATTCCCACATGACATAATAACTCAAGCTACCCTTTCGTCACACTGTGTAGCTCAGACCCCAACTAGAAACCTTCCTTGTTTCCATTCAGAGATAGACTTACTTAGATCTGGTTTAAATCAACTATCTTGGGTTGTCTCTTTGACTGGATGTAGACTTGTGTTGGCTAAAATAATTGATCATTTTGTTGTTGTTGTTTTAGATAGGCTCTTACCATGTAACTATGCTGGTATGGATTTCCCTATGTAGACCAGGCTTGCCTCAGCTTCTGTGTGTTCTACATGTCTGTGCCTCCTGAGTGCTAGCTAGGGCTCCATCACTTGCAGCAAATAACTCATGGTTATCTGTGCTTTGGGGAGCTGTTTTCCTGTATACCTGCTTCTAATATTCTAATGGCTATATATTTTTAGAAAATCTATAATGTATACACACACATACACACAAACATGGTGCACACACATATATATGTGACTAGTGCCTATGGAAGCCAGCAGAAGGTAACACTCCCCTAGAACTGGAGTTTCAGACAGTTGTAAGCCACCATGTGTTTTCAAGGGTCTAAATGTAGGTCCTCTGCAAGAGTAGTGAGTGGTTTTAACCACTGAGCCATACTTCCAGCTCCAAGACCTTTTTTTTTTTTTCTAATGCATTCATTGGTAGTCAGGCATTTTAAAGTTTTATTGGTGTAATAAAAATTCTTCCCAAATTAAACTACCTTTGATAAGCATTCATTCTGGCAGTGAGAATTTGTTGAGGGCTGTTGGCAAGATGGAAGTCTTTATTTTTGAAACTGGAATTGGCAGGAAATAATGGCCCCAAGAGCTTCCTCTCTCTCCACACCAACCCCCACTCCTTAGTGTGCTCCTCCTCGCCCACCCTTCCACAGTCTTCACTTCAAACTCAAAGCTAAAATATAACGTATTTGGGCTCATACAGTTTTCCTCGGCATAATTCAAATGTGACTTTCAGCTTTTCATAACTGCAGCAAAGACTGTCAAATCAAAGAAAATAGTCTATTTGTCAAGTGGCACTCCATGGAGGGATTTCTTGGTGATGTTACTGTTTCCACCAGAATTAGTGGGAGTCTCTCACATGGTCCTGAGTGTCAGACTCCTGTGGGCACCTTCTTAATTGAATGTCAAGATACAACTCGGTCACAAAACAAATAAAAAAAAAAAGATGATTTTTTTTTAAAGGTGTGATACCTGGGGAGCAGAAAAGCAAATGTGAATATGCTGACAGGTGACATTGCCACAGTCCTGATAGCATCCAGTTTCTAAGACTTATTAAATGAAGAAATGTAGGTAAAAAACCTGGACCCATGTTTAGTCCACAGTTAATGCCCAATCAGTTATTTTACCTCTTCAATTGGAAAGTCCACTAATGAGCGAATTACTCTGCCATTCAGAGGTATACAAATATGCATGATGGAACATCCCCATTGTGTTCCAGCCTTCTTAAATAGTGTATAGAAATCATTCATTTTCAATATCAGTTTATGGGCAGAAAATGTGTTGCTCTAATCACAGTGTCTATGAGTGTCCATCAGAACTCTATAAACTGTCCATTTGAGTAAGCTGCTCATTCCTTTAATGGTAAGAATACATTTAGGAGATATACTTTCTCATTATTTACAGAATGAAGCTCGATTGAGAATAGCAAAAACCCTTGAAGACTTTGACCTGGGCACAACGGAAAAGTGTGTGAGAATCAACTCGGTGTCTAGTGGTCTGGCTGAAGCCGACCTGGAGACATTTCTACAGGCCAGAGTTCTTCCCTCTAGTCTGATGTTACCAAAGGTAGAAGGTCCTGAAGAAATCCAGTGGGTAAGTAATAGTGCTTCTCTGTGCAATGCAGGCCAGCTCAGGAGTCACCCAGAGAGTGTGGACAGCACCCATTTAGAAATGCACACACAGGGCTGAGGAGAGAACTCATGGATGAAGCAGTTGCTTGGCATGTGTCAGGTCCTGGATTCAGTCAGCACTGTGAAAAAGAAGAGAAGAAATGTAGCTTGTTGTAGCTCCATTGGTGGAGTGTTTGCCTAGCATGCACAAGGCCCTGGTTTGATTCCCTAACATCTAATAAACTGGATATTGTGGCAAATGCCTATAGTCCCAGCATTCAGGAGATAGAGGCAGGAAGATCAGAGTTCAAGGTCATCCTCAACTACATAGCAAGTTTGAGGCTGGGCTCCTTGAGTCCCAGACTCAAAAAAGCAAGGAGAGAAGAAGGGATTTTGAAAAATGAGTAGGAAAAGCCACCATTTCCTCCTCCCTAGAATCCAGGCATCCCCAACATGTTTCCTGAAACAGCTCGTTTGGAAGCATCACTTTTGCTTTTTGGTTGGATTTGTGGTTCGGTCAGAGCAGACTCCTCAGTAGCCCTCACAGATGAGACCCTGGACACTAACTTTCTGAGCATCAATCCTGCCACTGGGAAGCCAGGGCTTCTACTTGTAAGAGCCATGACATGGATGGTTCTGGATGGTTCTGGCTGAGGCTCCTCTGAAGCCATCGTAAGCAGCGTGGAGGTCTAGCTGCATATGAAGCCAAGAGCCCAGGGAAGGGAGGAAAAGGTCACTCCTAAGGGCAACTGGAGGAAGAAACAGGAAGCTTTTAACTCGTGGTTTTAATTAGCTCAGATATTATTTCCTGAACAGCTCTCTGGTGCGCCCTTTTTTAAATTACTGTCAGGTGTGTTTGCATTTCATGACAGACTTTTCAGCCAATAAAAGCCTGAAATGTAAAGTGGATGGCATGTCAAATTACTTAAGAAAACTTTGAAATGGGCCCAATTATTCTATGATTGTTTTAACTGTGAGTTGGGGAGAGGGTGAATAGGGACTTAGTATTATTCTGCAAGTCCCTTGAATAAAATGCCATCTTATTATTGCCACTTGGGGCAGAACTTTTGGAAGTGACTGGACTGAATGGACGGGGGGGGGGGGGGGTTCAAAGCAATATTTCCTATTATCTTAAAGGTTGTATATCTAGCCAAAGCAGTATGCTAAGTAGCTGTTATACCTGGTAAAACTGCTAACTTAAAAAAAGTAATGATGATCAATTTACTTTTATTTCATGTGCATTGGTGTTTTGCCTGCATGTATGCCTGTATGAGGGTGTCAGACCCCTTGATGGTATAGACAGTTGTGAGCTGCCGTGTGGGTGCTGGGAATTGAACCCAGATCTTCTTGAAGGACAGCAAGTACTCCTAACCACTAAGCCATCTCTCCAGCCCCAGCTACTTACTTTTTAAGTCCACCTGAATATGCTGGATCTTTATTGTGCAATATATGGGTCACCTGCTGCATATGGCCACTCAGCATTTAAAATGTGGCCCTCACGAGTTAAGAGGTGTGCTTGTGATGAGTGAGACACACACGTGCCTGAGTTTAGAGACTCGATGTTCTTTCCAAGTAGAGAAAGAAAAATGGAGAGTAGCTCAAAACTTTTAATATTAATTCCATATCACAGTAATGATATTTGTACTCCATTAGTTGAATATAAGACATGAAAAGCTGCTCTGTCTATTCCTCTGTACTCTTCGAACGTAGCTACTAGAAGGTTGAAAATTATCGTACATGTAAATGGTAAGATATTTGTGTTGACAGCTTTGAACTGGGATCCTCTTAAAGACCTGTCGTCAAGGACTTGTGTTGTTTACTTAGTAAACTGGAGATCTCACCAAGGTTAGCCGTAGATGCTTAGAGGTACTGTTTAGAGCATATTACTGTCCCGAGGGCTCTAAACCTTCTCAGATATGTATTAAGCTGATGGAAGACTCCGAAGTCCCTCTTTCCTTGGTTTCAGCTTTTATGCCTCTTAATACCAGCAACACACTCGCTTAGGATGGGGTGATCTCTCAAATCCTGAGCTACAGCTTCGCGTAGCTGTTTCGAATCCTCGGATGCGAGGGAGACGAAATTGAAATAGGACTTCTAGTTAGCAGAAGTCTTTGGGGGCTGTTTATTTTTCCTCTCCGTTTGTATTTATGCGAAGCGTAAAACCTCAAGCCTGACGCACAACTGAAAGATGGGCTTACTTGTTTTCTTTTGTGTGAGAATCGCCCGCTCGCCTTTTGTCGTTAGTGTGGGCTCTTGTCTGACTGGCACGGCTTATTGGGCTGTAACAAGCGTAACTCTGCCTCTTTTGTCGCGGGACAATTCTCCCACAAATCCCAACAGTGCGTATTCTTCCAACACGCTATTGGGTGTGCACTGGAATTGAAAGAATTGCTGAGCCCTGCTACTTCACCTCCTCCCCAGTCTCTTTGTAATTCTCCCCCCTTCTTTTCCTCACGCCCCCCTCCCCAGTCCCCTCCACCTCGATGAAATGAACACTTTACCAGGCCGGAAACATTTAATCGTCTCCTTTTGAAAAAATTAATTGAAACTTCTCCACTAGTTACCTTTTGTGTTAGTACTTAATGCAATTTTTTAAGAAAGAAGGGGATGGGGAGGGGGGAGGGGCTAGCATATTTAATTTTTAAATGCCCCTATTGACTATAAAGCAAAAGGCATTGGAGATTTTTGTTCATTAAGAACAGGGGATATCTTGTAAAAGATTTACCTAGTTGTAAACTTTACGATTTTTGCAGTTGTAATGACTATCCCAGAGAATATAGTTCGAGTAGCCTTGGAAGTTTTCTTTTTTTCTTTTTCCTTCCTTCCTTCCTTTCTTTTTTTTCCTTTCTTTTTTAATGAGAAAAGAAAATCAGTAGCTAAGTACTCAACACCCAAGCCACCAATATTTCACTACTCATTTTCAAGTTTAATTGTAACATAAATTATGTTTTATTTTTCACAGCGTCTGATACCATACAGGTTGCCCCTCAGCTTTCAGTCTTCTCCTCGCCCTGGCTGTTGTGGTGGGTTATTCTGTTCCCTGAAAGTTACTAAGAGGTGCCGGTGACGCCGTCTAAGAGGGAGGGGCGGAGAGCAACGGGAATCATTCTTCATTACTGAAAGCTGTGATTTATTTTAGCCTAATTGTAAAGTTACTGCAAATCGCTCAAAAGCTTTTTAAAGATCCCAGTGATTAGGTATTTTTTTAGGGGGGGGGAACGCAGGCAAGGAGGGGGCAGGTAAAAAGGGAAATAACACCTCTAATCCTGCTTCTGGTAAATAGGCTGCCAGCTTTTAAAATGAGTTTCCTTTCTATTAGTGAGAATATTATGCTAAGCCTTAAGCATTAGTTTTTTTATGTTACCATAGCAGCCCTATTCCTGCAGGGTTGACCTGTGATGATTACAGTACAAAGCTTATAGGGTCTTGAAACCCCCTTTGAAGATGAAAAGTCTTTGATGGTTTATATTTATGCAAATCTCTTAGATATGATTTACCCAACTGAGACTGAATGGAGAGATGATTAAAATTCCCTTTTCCTTTGATATCCATTAATGGCTGAATATTCCTTAAATTTAAATGGATATATGTGTTTTCAACTTTATTTACAAAAATATCTTTATTATACCTGTGTTTCTTTCTTGCTTTCTTTCTTTCTTTTTTTAATCTTCCCACATCTTATTAGATCTAGATAGACATAATAGATTTACAATTTAGATTGTGGGGCTCCCTCCCCCTTTTTTTGAAACGGGGGTGTGGGGGATCTGCGAGAGCTTTTGTATGTTTCCAGATGATAGATTTTGGAATTTGGGCTACCCCACTGGCAGCACAGAGCTAGCTGTGAACTGGTCTCATGGAAAAAATTGGCAAGCTTTGGTCTTCAAAGAATTAAACTTCCTTTTTAAGGTCTTCCTAGGTAAGCTTTAAAAAAAAAAATATGAAGAAAACCCTCCGGAACAAAGGACAGCGGTACTATAACCGATAACTCGGATCGCACATATGTAAAAGGCAGCCAACAGTTGCACATGTGTTGGTGTTGGGTCTGAAACAAAAAACAGAAGGGGCAGGTAGAGAGGTCTGCTTTGTTCTGAGCGCCTGCCATTTGCATTTAGTGGAGGAGAGAGGGTGACAAGTCCTGAGTAAATATGTTTTCCAGGGAAGCATTTAAACTGGGAATCTCTCCTTCCCTCTGGCTTCTAGGCCTCAAAGTGTTCCTTTCGGAGGTGTTTGAAATTTCACTGTGATTTTGGGGGAACTTTGTTACCTTCAGTTTTCTTTGCTTTTTTTTCTTCCTTCCTGCCCCCTCCCCATTCCTTTGTGTGGATGCTGGAGACTGGGGTAGGGTACTTCCTCAGGTCAGAGACTTTTCAGTCTTGCTCTGTCTGCATTTCAGGGGCTGAGCTTCTGTTCTGTGTAATCACCTATGACATTTCTGATTTTAGTTTTCAGACAAATTTTCACTCCACTTAAAAGGCCGAAAACTTGAACAACCAATGAATTTAATCCCCTTTGTGGAGACTGCAATGGGTTTGCTCAATTTTAAGGTAAGGAAGCCATCCATAGTGTGGTCATGTGAATTAGTGTTTTACTTTGATTTCCTAAAGAGAATTCCTGTTTTTTTTATTTGAACATCTACTTAAAATTTTTTTTAAAGAAAGATTAATAAACCAAGTAAGATATTTAAGCCATTTCTTCTCTGTCCTGCTCCAATAACAAAGTTGTCAATATCTTGGAAGACAAAGAAGCTAGTTAAAAACAAGAAGAGGTCTTCTCAGTATCCAAACATTTACATGTTCCTGGAGTATGCATAAAAATAAAATCACAGAATAAGTATATGGTTTGAATTAGTACATGTATAGATTAACTGTATGTGGGAATTTTATTTTTCACCTTTATACACTGAGTTTGAACCACCTTTCCTATCAGCTATCTTTCTGTTTGCAAATACCCTGGTCTCTCTGGTACTATTATCTGTAGTCCCTAGCAAATATGATTATTGTTCACAGTTCATATATATAAATAATCTGTAGTCTCTTGTTTCACTTTGCCCATGTTTGAAACATTAAGTGTTTTCTAACACACATTCCAAAAAAGATTAGCTGAGCCAATTCTCAGCCACTGTGTGGCTGCATCAAACTACCTGCCTTACTAGATTCATAGCCAGCTTGTTTGTGCCTCTTGATCTGTGGGCCTTTGTATCATTTCCCAAAACATGTCTCTCGTATCACCTGACTTTGAATGGCCATCTAGGACTCCCTGTACCTCTTCCCGAAGTTTCTAACCCTTGATGGTTTTGTTTTGGGTTTGCATTTTGTTTTTATTTTATTTTTTCCACTCCAGAGAGTAGGAGAAAAAAAAATCACTAAAAACAGAAGTAGCTGACCTGTGATGATGGAGAAACGCACAGAGGAAGCTTTGGAGAGCTGTAGGACTGTGCAGGGAGGGCCCAGTGCAAATGTTTAGGAGCTGCCTCGAGCCCTGTCTCGTGACCAACTCCTTCAGACAAACAACCACAAAGTCCTCAGCCCACCCTAGCACCCCCAAACATAATCAAAAGCACATCCCAGAGCTGGAATCAGATACATGCAGTGGTTTCATTTTAAAGCACGATTTTGCCGTTTCATTCAGTGATGTACTTAGGAACTCTCACAATGCCTGAAATTAGTCAACAGTATCCTCCACCGAGTCCTTCATTCTTTTCCTGCCCACACAGATGTTAGTACATTACAGCTGCATGTCCCAAGATTCACAGTTACATCAACAGCAAGCGCGATTCGTCTTTACGTTCAGTTGGGTGTGTCAGAGTTGCTTTATTCACACGCCCTGGGTGACTGGTAGCATTTTTATTTTCTCTCCGAAGTTATAGGTTTTGCATTAGCCTGACTGTAAGCCTGAAACCACTTTACTTGGTCCTAATGCAAATAATCCAATTAGTTTGATTTCAATTTTTTTTCCCCTCTTCTCCTGTGGTTTTACTTTTGTCATTTAAGAGTCCTCTTAAAACAAAAACCAATTCTGGAGAGATGTGAATTACTTACAGTAGAAGCTAAGAGAGTTACCAAAAGAAAATTGATCTAGAAAATTGGATGGTGTATAGCTGGATGTATTCTAACTATGTAATAAACTGTGATAGCTATGCTGATGTAATCACCAGGCAGAGCAGATATGTATGATGAGGTGTTTATCTGAAGAATATTAAATGCTTTAGGGAAGGTCTCAGTTTGTTTTAGCCAAACTATGTCAGGATCTGGATCTTTTCTATTGCTGATGCCTTGGCTCCCAGCCTCTTAGACCCTGCTCTGCTCTTTTCCAGGCAGTGTGTGAAGAAACACTAAAGATTGGTCCTCAAGTGGGTCTTTGCCTAGATGCAGTCGTTTTTGGAGGAGAAGATTTTCGAGCCAGCATAGGTGTCAAAGATCTCTCTGTCTCCCAACTCCCTCCCTGCCCTCGGTTGTGTATGTTTATGTGTGTGCATGTGAGCGTGCGCTAGAGATTTTTCTTCTTTGCCCCTTCACAAAGGGACATTTACATAATAATGTGTATTTGTTAGCCCTGATGGTGCCTTTTCATGACAACTAACTGACCACCACTTCCTGATAATTTAGGGTTCCATCTCCTGCTTCCAGAATCCCCACCTTATTACTTCTACTCATTTATAAAATAATAAAAGCCTCTACAACCTCAGGCATGTTCAAGAATGTATGGGGTCCACTCGGCTTCTACTACTGCCGATGCTGGCTTAAATATGTTGTCTTCACTTAAGTCTAAGACCTGAGCCTCTAAACAGAATGTTCAAGTGCTTCTGCATTGGCTTTAATACTGTGTTTTCTACATTAAATGTGGTAAGCAGATATTTTTAAGATAGATTGTAAATTTACCTTAGAATATATTTCAGAGCATTTATTGTTAAATATGTACTGGCCTTGCTGATATCCCTTGATCCCTTATTTGGGTATCTCTAAAGGCCAAGGTTATAGAAACTGTTTTCAGAGCCACATCCCAGTGTGCTGGGCACACTGTTCCTGAGCAATGGGTTTTGTAGCCCAAGTTCAAACACTGACACACTCCCTCCCCTCAGGGTGAAAAAGAAAATTTTATTTTAATACAAGTCTTCCCAGGAGAAATTCGTGTGTCCCACAGCAAAGTATATTACAGAAGGCACTTTCTGCCTCTCCCAAAATGAGGGTCTTCCTCATTACTCCCCGTGCTCCAACCAAACCCCAAAGCACTGGATCAGGACATCTTTGAGGACAAATGTCACAAGACCAGCACATGCCATTCCTAAGAAGTGAGCTATTCCCCCCCCCCCCCACATGCAGTTTCCTGGATACTTGTTGTAGTGTTATCTTTGGGCTAACACTTTCCAAGTGATTACACAAAGGAGGAAAATCTGTTAGGGGCCCCGTGACCTTCTTCCATCTCCCAAACGCAACCACAATCGATTGTGTTGGAAACTGTGTCAGTTCAGTAGACAGATGTGCCATTCAGCACTTCTTCCCTATATACCTGCCTTCCTGTGTATTGGAATAATTGCTTTTCTGGGAACCAGTTTCCAGGGAAGTATATACATGTCTTTAGAACCTGGTTTCTGTACTATATGTCTGGGTTTGGTTTCCAGTGTTAAAGCCTCACTTTTCTATGTGTAACTCACTTCCAGGAGCAACAAGCAACAAAGACACCCAAGACATCCTCTATGCCCGACAGAAGATTGTAGTTACGGCAAAGGCCTTTGGCCTACAAGCCATAGATCTTGTGTACATTGACTTCCGGGATGAAGACGGACTTCTCAGACAGTCAAGAGAAGCAGCTGCCATGGGCTTCACTGGTATGATTCCTGGTGCTGTCTTAAAGAGCAGCATGTACATTAGTGGGCATTCCAGAAAATAAAGATGTCTATACACCCCGCGCTGCCCTGTAACATGAGAAGGCTGCACAGAGCAGAGAGCACCTGATGATTATCCCTGGGTTGTGGGTGGTTTTCTCTCTCTTTCTTTTTACTTGTTTTTTTTTCTTTTTTCTTTTTTTTTGGTTGTTGTTTTTGTTTTTTTTTTTGTCTCTTCAAGTTACAAAATACTTGATCAAAATTTTTTCTTTATACTTATTTTTCTGTCTTTTTAAGAATATTGGTAATAATTTGAGCTGATCCCAGGCAAAGGATGAGACTATTATGGGAAGGTTCGAGAGTGAAAAATTGTCAGAATTTAGATTGGTGAAATATAAGAAAACATTCCTAAAATAGCTAAAGTATTAATTAGTTTTCAATCGATATTGCCTGTGATTCTTACTCATGACTATTTTTTAAAATGATTTGGCCATGGGAAGCCCCTCTTTCCTCCCATGTCTCCCAAGTGTCTGTGTACCTGCTGTCACCTGTGGGTGCTGGCTGGCACCAGAGTCAGTAGGTCCCTCACAGACCTGTATGGGGTAGAGGCGGGCAGCTGACGTTCACTAGTGTCCATCAGTCCTGTCCCCGTGAGTTCAAGGAAACTGAAAATCAGGTTTTTGCAATGGAATTCTGTCTTTTAAAAACCATAATAGAATCTCATGCATAAATGGTCCTGTGCAGTTGTATACACACATGCTCATGTATTCTCTCTCTCTCTTTCTCTCTCTGATTCTTATGATGAAAGTGCTAAGATTGCTAACTATAAATATCCCCAGCAAGAAGGAGGAGAAGGAAGGAAGGAAGGAAGGAAGGAAGAAAGGAAGGAAGGAAGGAAGGAAAGAAGGAAAGAAGGAAGAAAGGAGAGAAGGAAGGAAAGAAGGAAGGAAGGAAGGAAGGAAAGAAGGAAGGAAGGAAGGAAGGAAGGAAGGAAGGAAGGAAGGAAGGATGTTATCCCTTTTGTAAAGTATTTTGATACTATACCTAGGCGGGTTTTAACTAAAAGTCTCACAAATTAACTTGAAATGAAAAATATATACTGGTGGAGGATGTCTTATCCTGAAACAAAATGAAAAGACTTAAGCAATAGTATATTATCTTAGAATATGTAACAGAGCACTGACATAAGCCTGAACCTCTAATCTTTAAGCTTAAAGACATGCGATCCCATGCACAGTGATGTTTTCTTAACGATCTGAACTATTAGTGCTTTTTCCTTATATTAATAGGAACTGAGAGAGAAGGGAATCCCTTTGCTCATCAGTGTATGGGTGGGGCCTGCCTGGCCAGTTAGGATGTAGCCCAAATGGAAAAGTTGGGAGAAAAAAAAAAACTCCATGAAATTTATCTAATAGAGACCGATGTTGTTGGCCTACAATATGTGGCACTGGCTGCCAGGCACCCTGGTCTCAGCCACCAGCCCTTCGTGTTCTTGGTTGATGTGTCCTCCCGCCCCCAGCTTCCTCTGGGGCTCAAAGTTTTCTCAAGATACAGGACTGAATTGAATTGGTCCCCAATTCAATCTCAGAAGACAAGCTATTTCAAATCCGGTTTAAATGTCCAGACTGTGCCCAACTCAGCACGAAGAACCTATGGATCTGGCACTATTGTTTCTGCACAATGGGGAGTATTAAATCACAGGAAGATGGAAGCTGGGGTACAGGGAGACACTGAGGGCGCAATGACCATCATGCCTCCAAGTGGCAGAAGCTGTAAGCTGGGGCCACACTCCACACATAGGTATCGATTTTGAGAGATCTTTGTTTCCCCAACTATATTTCTGCAGACTAAAAAAAAAAAAAGTGATCAAAAGATATGAGACTGTATCGCATGTTTTAACTCATGCTCTCTCTGAGTATTTTATGCCTCTCATGATCCCAGGTTACTAATTTTTGGAACTTAATTGTGATATCTTAAGTCTTACACGAGAAAGGGAGAGAAGCAGCAGAAGACAGGGGTGGGTGGGGGGGAGGAGATAGCGGAATATTGTCACCAACTGTACAATACTTATCTGAAGCAGGTAGTTGAAGGGCTTAAAATCAGCAAAAGTGTCCTGTTATTTATGACTAAAGAGTGAGTCAGGGCAAGGGTTGTCAGTACTTCAGCATGAAAAGTTAAATGTATACATACATGTATTTAGCCTTACTTTATAAGATTATAATAAAATTATATAATTTCTGCCTTCTTTTTCTTCCCTCAAAAAAATCTAGCATCACACCAAACAGTAAACTGTAGTTTGCTTTTGCCATCTTTATTACATGGGATTCCCACTCATGTTGATTGATTTAATGACAATCCCAATGTCTGTATACATTAACTTTAGGATTTTTTTAAATAATAAAAACAAACTAAAATGTGAGAGAAAGCTTTTCCCACTGCCTTAGCCGTTACGGTTACTACAGCACTACAGGCTGCCAGGCAAGATTATAAATATGAAGCAATATAGGTTTTCGTATGTTTCTGCAGTCTTTTCTACAAGACAAAAATGATGCCATCATATAGTTGCCTAAAAAACTTGACAGGTATTGATTTAAAGCAAGATATATCAAGTGGTCCTGTAAAAAGGATCTCACGGTCATAAATTTTAATGCCGTCCAATTTTGCACCCTCTTGGTAACTTGTCAATAAGAACTCTTGTGGATAAAATATTTGCTTGTGTCCCACAAGGCATTAAAGCCCATTATACAGTCACTGGAATGTACACAGATTGACAAAAGACTCCTTGGCATGAAAATGTACATAGATTTCAAGACCACAACATAACAGTGGCCTCATACTGAAACGTGGGTGCTTCCAAGCAGTCAGGAGGTTTTGCAAGAACCCAGCTAACTAGTTACATTTGTTCCTCACATTACAGAGCCTGTACCAAGAAGTTCCCGTGAAATCTGCCCTTTTGCACAGCAATGTAAATTATGTACATAAATTATGAAATCCAGGGCTAACAATTTAGGAAATGACTACTGGGCACTGGCAAGCTTTTTAAATGATATTATTATGACTATTAAAATAATTAAATGTGGAATCAATACCTACTATTTGAAAGGAGTTCACATTTGTAGCTTCTGTTAGTTGGCTCTAAAAATTAGTCATCAAATAGTTTGAAGTGCCTTTATGCATATAGATTCATAACATTTTTCTATTATGCTGACAGGCAAGAATGAAATGATAAAATAGAATTTTTAATTGTGTCGAGGTTTAAAGAGAATAGTATTTATTTACTTAAGCTTCTTTTCTAGAAACACTAGAAAAAGAAAAATCCTGTCTTACTATTTTTACAAATATTGTTACTTTATCTGTTCATCCAAATGAATATAGTAACAGAAACTGGTAGTTTATAAAAACATGTGGACTGTGACATATCGTGTTAAATATTGAAACAACTATTTAAAAAGCAAAGCAAATTGATGAGACAACAAATATAGTTAGCAGCCATTAAGTTTACATTGGTTTTAAAGAATCAATTTACGTTCATAACTTTATCATGTAATGTAATTTAATCTCATTGTTGTGACATTAAATTATATTGCATTTTATTAATGATCTGATTAGATACTGCACTTCTCTGATTGTTAAATTGTTTTTATTATTATTAAGAGTGTTATAATTACATAGAATCCTTTGAGGCTTATATATGGATGGTGTTTTTATTTAAAACCCTTAAACTTCAAAAAGAATCAAAGATTTTTGAAGGTTATTTCTACATAGATACAATTTCTTTTTGAAGGTATTTCTATATACCATTTTTTACCATTTAAAGACAATACAACTCTCACAGTATAAGAAGAAAGGGAAGATCTGGTTACAATTTGGAACAAATAAATTTTCTGTAATCTTTCTATTTTAAAAAATGTGAAGTAGAGTAATTTAGATGCCACAGTATTCAAATCTGCCTTTTAGTTTATAGCTCTAGATGTATTTTCATTGAAATTGACATGTTTAAAATAACATGCTCAAAAAGAAAGTGAAATGCATCATTGTAAGGCAGTGTTTGGTATTGATATGGTCATAACATCTGCTGTGAGCTGAGCTACTGTCTGTCAGTATAAGGTATAAGAGCTATAGGAAATACCACAATCCTTCCCCCAAACAAGCACTAGACAGCTTAGACAACTTGAGAGAATTCTCATTTAATTTCACTCTACATTTAACTGAAAATAATGGATAACTTGCAGACATTCTCCAGTTAAAATACAAGCAAAGTAGTTATTTAACAGGCTGCCTTATCCAGCCACCTGTAACTAAAAGTTCGAGCTTTTCTACACTAAGAGGGGGTGTCGTCTACATAAATCTAGAGTGTAGTAACTCCCATACTTGTGTTTGTTCTTGTGTGGTTTTCTGGAAAAGTGTGTCTGATTGTAGGCTTTGCTTTGTACTGTTCAGTTCTTCAGCACCCACTCTATGAAGCATCCAGGAATGTCCCCAGCTGAGCACATCTGGTCTGTCCCCAACCTCCAGTGTGGTTACTCTCTTTGCAGGTAAACAGGTGATCCACCCTAACCAGATTGCTGTGGTACAGGAACAGTTTACTCCAACCCCAGAAAAAATTCAGTGGGCTGAAGAGCTGATTGCTGCATTTAAAGAACACCAGCAGCTGGGAAAGGTAAACGTTTTGTTGATATCTCAAGTGGTTCTGGAGTTTAAAATATTATGGACAAGGATGACTTAAGGAAAACTCATTGCATTTGGCAGGAAGGAGTGGAAGGGAAATAAAATTTATCAATGAGAAAATCGCTGAAGGTAGACAACTATCCCTTTCCCTAAATAGCTCACTAATTGGTTCCCTTGTCTCCTCTTATTTATTTGTTTTCATAAGCTGTATTGGCAGTCTCAGAAAAAGTAAAAGCCTTTTTAGCCTCTGCTGCGTCGACTTGGATGAGGCGCTTGTACGAGAATGATTTCAGATCAAAGTAGGAGCGCGTTGTAACGAAATAATCACAGTTTGATCACACGGTTCTTGTGGAGAGAAGAAATAAATTTCAAGTTATTTTAATTGGGGGGGGTGGTGGAGTGGGGGGGGTATTAAAAAAAAAAGCACTAACATCTCCTTGGGTTTAGTCATTTAGGAGTGGGAGGTTGTAGATGGATTTGTACTGATTTCTGGACCTGAGATTTGGAAAGAATGGAAGGCAAATTAACACTGAGTACGGTTGTTCTAATTTAGTGCTTCATTGAGCCTGGCGTTTCCCGCTCTGTGGGTTTCTGCTATGTAAATATTGCGGTGGTAATGCACAATCTGTCTCCACTTTGTGCCAGTAACACTTAAATTAGGTGTCGCCTGAAGGAAGATTTTATGCTAGTTGCAGCATTGTTAGTTAATTATCTTAAAGGTTATTTGCAGTAATACCGTTTGCCTCTTTTTTCAGAGGGATGGGGGAAGTTGCTTTTATAAATCTATCCTGGAGATAATCTCACCTCAGCCCGTGACTTCTGTAAGGAATGGAGTTGTCACGCCTTCCACTCAGAATTACTTAGGAGAGGAAGGATGCTGAAAGATTAGTAAGGTCCTAAATGTTGAACACTCACCCTTGTGGAAATAAATAAATAAAAAACACAGCAGAGAAGAAGCAAAATCTGGTTTTCAATGGTGGACCTGTGACACCCATGTAAGAAGTGACCTTTACATGATCCCTGGCAGCAAGGACACCTGAAAATCCCAAGACTTGTACAAATGGGTAACAATATTAAGTAGGTCGTTCCCTATGGCTGTCTGGCTTCAACCCTGATCAGACATACTGGCCTCCTTCTCCCTCTCCCTCTCCCATCCCTTCCCCCCACCCCCACAGATTAACCTTTGTACAGACACACACTTAATATCCAAAGGCAGAATATCTACACAGGAAAGATCCCATTTGGACATTATACTAAATTTATGAAGGATAGTTTTTCCCCCCCCATTTCATGTCAATGGTGGCCATCAAAAATTATTCACAGAAAAATAATTTTAAGTTGAAATTGTATTTCACGTTTGTTTCTGTATTTCAAATCCCAAATGAGGCTTGCCAGTAAGTGAACATATTTACCTAGAAAGAAAAGCTGTGCACTTTTTAATTGACACATACAAACAACTTCATCATGTCCTTCCCATACACTTGTATGTATGCAGAAACACACATACACACACTATGTATCCTTTTCCTCTATTCTGCTTTATACCAGCTGAAAGTGTGCAAGCAATAAACACATATTAAAAGAGTCAACTAAGGCAGCATGCACTCCCTTTAGATGGCAGACAGATCCAGTGTAGATGGTTCTGCCTCCATGAACCAAGTACACTGTTTCACACTGAAACACACTGAAGGCAGATACCTGGCCTTGTAAACAGATGGAAAAGGTTACCCCCAATTTCACCAGCTCCCAAACAAAAGTCAGACCAGAAACACTCCCTTCCTGCCTCTTAAGTTCCTGAATAAAGACTACATCCCACCGCCCCCACACACACTTTTTCCATTATATCTCGAAAATATTATTCCTAGGGAAAATTGCCCAGGCATTTGATAACGGTGATGTAAATGTTAAATCTGGGCTTTTTTTCCCCTTTTCATTCTCCAAATAAGAAGTGCCCCTCTTGTTGGGGTATAATTGGGGCATAAGGTTTCACAATAGTATGGCAGGCCAGCTTTTCTTAATACAGAAGACGGCGTTACCTATTAGGTCATTTCTCCCATGTCCACTTTGTGGAGGTTTGATTCCAACAGCAAATGGCCCTGGTGCTTTTTGTCCAGCGAGGCTTAAATGACTCAAGTAATGGAGCCTCTGGTGGGGACATATGGTTATTTTATCCAGTTAGCATGAGTCTTTCACTGTGCCTATAAACTGGCTGGCCTCAAACATTGGGACTGCAGGTAGGTGCCTTGGGTCTTGAGGGCTCGTGTGGTTTAAATAGTGTGTGGGTTATTTTGGCAGAGATCTCCTATAAATAAGCTCTCGGTGGTAGGAAGTATCACCTCCAACAAACATTTCATCTGTCTTAGTTCAAATGAGTACCATTTATGAAAAATACGAACTCCCGGATATTTTGTCCAAAGCACAGATGACTCCCAAGGATGGAAAATGGATGGCTTGCATCCTGGTGAGGTGCTCATGAGTTTCCCTGAGGCCCTATCCCTCTGATGAAAATTTCATTTAATTAATTCCTTTAAGTAGAATCAGTCCAAGAAGGCACTATGATGTAGCCTTGCTTTTCTCCCACCCCCATCTTCAATTACACCCTTTCTGCTTAGAGACCGAAGCGTGGCCAGAGCTGGCAGTTAACACTGGGTCATTTATGTTTTCTGATAGTGGCAGTAGTGAAAAGTCCTACCTTTTCTTCCCATCTCTCTAAATGACAACCACAGGAAGGCTTGTATCATGAGCAGGTGAGTTGTCGGGGCTCAGACTTTGATCATTCCATGTTTTTTTTTTTCTCTTAGTTAGAAGATCCATGGAAATTAAGTCTGATGCGCTTAGTATGAGAACATGTGAAAAACAATTTACCCTAGAAAAATAATGATATTCAGCTCACCTAGTCTATGACTGTTTGACAGATAATGGTACTCAAAAGAACCAGAGATGAACCAGTTTTACCTGGCACAACCGTCCGTTTTAATAAGAACAGAAGCAGCAGGCTGAAACTTATAACTTTAGCTTGGTTTCTCTTATTAAAATCTGTTACAAGAAGGTTATTCAGCATAAGTTATATTTCTGTTTTAGTTCCCAGGAAGTAAAGTATTTATAATTTAACTGACATTATTAACCAGACAGATTCTTTCTTCCTTCCAGAAAAACTGTATTCTGAGATACAGCCTGTAAATCATTAGTTCTTCTACTACACTTGGTGAAATATGTTAGCTGGATAAATCACTTTCATGTGATTTGCTTTAAAAGTATAAAGAATTTTCTATAAAATTATCCATTTATCATTTATATAGCATTTTTTCATCATGGAGATTTTATAATATCTAGAAATTCTCCATTCAGAACTGAATTTAGTGTTTGTTTAATGAAGAAACATGGTTTTCTTGTTTTTCTTCTGTTTTTTTTTTTTTTTGTAATCCACTAAGAATTTTACATAATCTGAAAACTGGATAATTCTAGCGGGAACTTCTCAAGTCATTAGTTACTGTTGGGATCAACAGAAACTGTAATTACATGGAATTTAGTACCTGTAAAATATATATTAATACAATATATAAAAACATATTTGACCCTGTGTATTTTTTACATCTGAATTATGACGTTGCTGCTAAGGCTTTCCTCTCGTTCATCGCCTTGCTAGACAAAGATGACAGCTGGAGAAAACAGCTCCTTGCTTTCTAAAAATGATCACTAATCAAAGAAAAAAAATTTTTCAACATGTAAAAACACGGAATTCTTCGTGAACTTGCATGTCATCTTTGCAGAACGGCAAAGCTAATCTTCTCAGTGTCTCTCCAATTTTAATATATGTGCCGCTGAAGGAAGCACAATCAAGGGAAATCTTACGAGTTAACACTTCTTTCCGGTGTGAAGAGTATGAAGGAATAGCAGATATATGCTTTGTATCTATGACGAGTTTTCTGCTGTATCTGGCTACAAACCTGAGTTTGATTCCGTTTTCCAGGCGATCTCTTTTTAATCCCATCGCTGCCCTGAGTGCGTCATGTGGGTTTGGAAGGATTTTGTTTGAACATTTTTAGCAGTTTTCATTCATTACAGCTTCACAAGCTGGCTAAACACCAAGGGAGGGGGGGAGTGTTCATTTAAGATCTAGGTCCCATTAACGGTTATAAAGGTCAAGACAAGGTCAGTAGTGACGCTCCGAGGTAAGTATCACGTAACTGGAACATTCCTGTTTCACTCATGAAGGAGCAATAGTGTGGACTAATGAGCTGACATTAATAAACACTTCCTATGCGGGGAACATCAATTACAAGTGATCTCTTATTAACACATAAAGGAGTTGGTTCCTTTTCCTCTCGTACCGTCTAGTGCCGGCTGTACTGAATCATCCCTTCCAAATACAGAAGGCAAGCAGGTTTTCGTAGGTGTGGTCGCAGCTCGGCACCTTCTCTTTATGCTTCCAAGTGCTGAGGAGCTTTATAAAAAACACTGTTGGATCCAGATGGCTCTCTCTCGAAGGCTCCCCGAGAGAACTCTGGAGAAATCTCCCCAACCAAAAATATTGTTCCCACTTGCTCAAGTGCCAGAAAGCCCACTGACACTCTTTCACACAGATCAAACAAACCATCTAAAGATTTGGTTGTTATCTTTGTCAACAGAAAGACTTGAACCACTAAGCGATGACAGTGTGTCCCCATCCACGACCATCCACCCATACCCGCCACCCACACAGCCTTTCCTATCTATTTCTAAACAGTAGCAGGCCACCAGTGCCCGGTGAACCCGGGTAAAAATGAAAGATTGGACAGAGATCTGATTCTGAGATTCCTGGTAATTGTGTTTTCCCTTTGTGTCCCTGTTCTTTTAGAGTTTTCAGAGCTGTATGCTATATCAGCTCTGAAAATCCAGCCCTTAGGAAATCTGAGGGCACCAATGAAGACTTTATGACCGATTTGATACACACCAAATTGCAATTAAAAAAAAAAAGAAAAGAAAAATACGTTTAAAGCATGAGTAGTGAAT